TCGAGGATAATATTAGTCTTTTCGTACATTTTGTGTCAGGAATCGATAAACTAAAACTCAAAACATCTGTTTCAGGATTCCATTGCATACCGAGAATTTTTGTGTCCGATTTAAATACTACCGTCCTTGATAACCGTTTTTCTATGGGTATTTTTTCTAATAACTTATTTGAATTTGTAGACCATTTCGTTAGATCGAATTTTCCCTTTAGAAAAATGGCTATCGATTCTTCATATAATTGCCATGCATCTACATCCGAATGTATGCTTGTAACTAAATCATCCATATAAAGATCTCTCGAAATTGTTTTGAATGCTAAAGGAAATTCATCACCATGTTCATAGAGAAGTTGCTTTACGGTTCGCAAAGCTAAATAAGGTGAAGATTTCACCCCAAATGCAACAACCCCTATTTCATAAGTTTGTATTTCCTCGTCTTGATTGAATCGCCATAAAACCCGTTGAAATCGACGATGTTCTTCCATCATATCAATTTGTCTATACATTTGACGTATATCCGAAGTTAATGCCACACGAAATAATCTGAAATTAATTAGCAATGTAAATATGTCTGTCTGCAATTTTGGGCCATTATATAATAAATCGTTCAACGATACACCGCTATCTGTAATCGCACTAGCATCCAAAACTACCCGAACCGGAGTACTAATACTCTCAGGTTTAAATATCGCGTGATGTGGTATATAGTATGAAGGTCCGTCCGCTCCATCATCTTTTATTAGATTCATATGTTTTTTCTCAATGAAATCATTCATTATATCATTATATGCCTTGCGCAGGTCCGTAATCCTCGCTAATCTTTTCTCTAGTGATATTAATCGCCTGTAAGCCGCTTGTTTTGAGTCGCCTAAAGTTTTTGGAGAACCCTTGAAAGGCAACGCCACTGTAAACCGCCCTGAAATATCCCGCTTCACCGTGCTTTTATATAATTTCTCACATTCCGTTTCTTCCGGACCCGGTAACGCATAGTGTGGTACTTGTTCCATTTCCCAAAATTTAATTAATAATTCCTCGATTGATAGTTCATCTGTCAAAGTTAAATATATCCCATGAGTATCCGAATTAATGTTAGTTGACATTTTTCCCATAATCACGTAACCCAATGTTGTTTGAACTGCCAATGGTGTTCCATTTGAATCATTGATGCGATTAGTTCCTAATATAGTGAGAAAAAGTTCCGCGCCGATAATGCCATCGATCTCCCCTGGCTCATAATAAGTTTCATCTGCCCATTTAATGTCTACTAAATCCGATACAAAAGTAGATTGTACTTTTGTTCTAGGTAACTTTTCCGAAATTGTATCTACCACCAGTGCCTTCATTGCATACTGTTCAGTGACACAATGTCGCGAAGCTATTCTTAAATGTGCTGTGCCTTTAACTATCTGAGAATTATTTCCAAGTCCCTGAACCGAAGAATAAAATTTCTTGATTTTTATTCCTAACCGTTTACAACATTTTTCCGTAACCAAGTGAGTTTGACTCCCTGTATCTAAAAGAAATCTAGCCGAACGTTGCCCGAAAGGACTATTAATCACATCCACAACCGCTGTGGATAGCAAAACCATACTATCATTTTTCTGATTATGACAAGTGATAGAAGTCAAAATGACTGGATCATTAGTAGCCGAATCCGAAATTGTTGTAGAATCTTCTTTCGTAGAAGTTGCCTGACCTACACATGACACAGCATTTATTCTTCCGGTATGTAATAAAACATGATGCTTCCTTGCACAATCACTACATGTCCTGTCCGAGGGACATGAACGAACGCCGTGATTCGGGGACAAACAGTTATAACACCAGTTATTATCCCTAACTATTTCATATCGCTTACTTGGAATCAAACGTTTGAATTTTTCACATCGACTCAAAAAGTGCCACCCTGTATGGCAATATTGACAAGAATTTGATTTTCCCGACGTTCCAGGTTTATTGTGATTAACTAAAAAAGATTTCGGACCGCGTGATTTACTGAAATCATTAATAATTTTACTACTACCTACAGATCGATTTAGATTTAATATTTTACACTGTTCTTTCACAAATTGACTAATTTCTTCATACGTGGGTATTTCAGTGTGTTTTCTAGACATTTCGAATGCCTTCACCGTGTCGGTATCCAACTTAGACAAAGCATGAAAAGCTAATATATAATCCGCCAAATCTTGGATGTTCAAATTTTTCAAAGCATTTACCGCAGAATCGAATCTTTCTATAAAGAGGTTGAGATTTTTATATGTCTCACGATACATTGGTTTGAAATCCATTATTTGATAAAAATAACTATTAGCCAAGGCTCGTTGATCCTGATATTTATCTAACAATGATTTCCAAATAATATTATAATTACCCCCCGTTGGAGCTAAACCTGAACAAGCAGTCAAAGCTGAACCCCTGAGCCGTCCCATTAAATAATGTACTTTATCCATATCCGTTAAATTAACATTTTCGTGAATCAAACTATTGAACACAGAATGAAAAGTTTCCCACTCTCTAATATCTCCCGAAAATTCTGGAAGTTCGATTTTCGGTAGACTAGGCAAACTACGTGTAACTCCAGCCTGTGAATTTACTGCATTATTTGGAGCACCTTGATTACTATCCTTATTTTGATCCCACTCTAATTTATTTGCCGCCATCTGAATATGACAACACATTTCATCGACTGTTTGCAGAACTGCAAAATTCGGCACATAATCTTCATTTACTTCGAAACTTGCTACAGCAACCTCATCAATTACCCTCAACAAATCTTCACGAGTTGTATCCATTGATTGATACAATATCTGAAATCTATTCCGTGATATCTCATTCGACAGGTTTTTAGATAAATCCATCAGTGTTTGCAACATACAAAATAAAGATTCCTTTTTTGCCGTTAAAACCTTCAAATTCCGTTCTGCTACCGTTGCAACCATCATACATATATATATTTTTTCCTTTCTAAAGGTAAACTATTTTATTCAAGATAAATAATTTTATTCGACCTGAAAACCCGATTTTCAGGATGTAATCAAATAGAAAAAACAAATGAGTGCAACAATGCCCGTAAAATATTTTCCCAATATCTATCTAACGATCGAAATAAATAAAATTATCGATCTAAACAAATCAGCTGTAGCAATCAAATAAATAACAAAAAACCCGACAATGAACTTGACCGATCCAAATTCTATACTATCGTATGACCGAAATAAAAAACAAGGCCTCTTTTTATTTTAACTAGATATCCGATATATCTGAATAAAATAACAAAAAACTCGACGCTAATTGCAATACTATATTAGATACCTATTTATAAGGTAAACGTAGGTAATATATAACCTTCAGCTCTTGAGTAATCCAATTTCCAATCTGGCTCAAAGGACCAATGTTACATAAGAGATGTAATTCAAAATGTTCACCAATAAATTGGAAAATGACTTACCCAAAATTCCTGAACGTGCTGCTCACCGGCTTTTCATTATAGATGAAGATAAGGGAAGGGAAAGGAATAGCAGGAAGTTTAGGAGGATTTGATTATGTCCCTTTCCATATGAATTATTGCCACTCTTGAGACCCTTTAATCGAACCGAACTACTAATATGACACCATTTGATTGCTACACGATTAATTAATTAATTATCACACCGGTGCTAGCCTTTTTCGATATATATGCTAACTGACCCTTTTCAAATATTCTGAAGTGGCGTCGCCAGCGGAGAATACCTGAAGTAATGAATTTACTACTAAACGTTGTTGCCAGATTATAAAAATATAATTAACATTGGGGAAGTTTGAGATTTGGCCCAAACAATCCCCAGAATTGAATAAGGATGGAATTATATAACTGTTTCACAAACACTTTAGAGTGTGAGGAGACGAGGATCTGTCCGTACCCTGTTAAGATGACTTTAACGTCAATTTCCACCAAGGGACTCTAGAGTTCCTAAATGTACTTGACACTGCTGTTTTGACGTTTTTTGTCTATCTCGCGATGTACGATCGAAGCCTTGGATCGAAGCAACCTTCCTCTACAAAATAATCATCAGTTCTCCCAACCTTGCGATTTTCTAATTGTTTTTGCTTCATAACGTTGAAACGGCTCACGAGATTCAATCTCAAGTTCATTTGTTTGGCATAGTTTTATTGGACAATAAATTCCATACCATAATCATGGGCTTAGAAATTGATTCCTTCAGCAAATGAACATTCAAAATTTCTACGCCAAAGAAAAGAAAAGGGATGGAATATATAACTTACTTACTACAAGGTAGGTACTCCCAATAAAATTCGATTCCAGTAAATTAGAGCATCCAGCAATCAAACGATTAACAGATATTTCAATATATAATTTTTTTTCAGATTTACCATTATATTCACATATAAAAAATAAACCATGAAAAACATTGGAATGTGCTATCAGCTATTTTTTTTTGTATTATGTAAGCCAGATTCGTCTATAGCGCCTAGAATGAACAACTTTGTACTGAGGTGAGTTTGCTACTTGAAAATGATGAATATTAAGAACAGTTTTCATGACATATCTGTCAATCGTTTTGATGTTAACTGATGCTATAAATTACTTAGATTCAAATTTTGTGGAGTGGTCGGATTTTATCCAAGTGTGCCTTTTTTGTAGTGAAAAAGTTACACAATCCAAATTTCGCATTCAAACACCTTTCTGTCCATTGGCAGGTTGTACGGAATGATATTCATCATAGTCATGATATGGGTTTTATTGCCAAATGAAACTATCCCAACGTACCAAATTTGAGAGAAATCTGATGAGCCGTTTCAAAGTTATGAAGCAAAAATGATTTGAAAATATTTCAACTTCAGAGCCAGCTAGCGTCCAATCTAAGCAACTTCATCCTTAGGAAAATTTGCTCTAATCAAATTGTTTTGACGTGAGGAATATGTGGTGAGTTTTTGTAAATTACTTTTAGGGGCACCCTGTACTATTCCAAAGCATCAATATGAAAATAATATACTCACTGAAAACAACGAAATGGCAGTGTTGAGTCTGCTGCTAAACAATGAGAGTGACCAGCACAACATTGCTCCACTCTCGTAAGGTATGCAGCATCAGTTTGAACACGAGGTTCTTCTAACAAAGACAGTATGCCGTGGCCGGCATGTTCTAACAATTGACAAATCACTCTGAAATTGAGAAAAAAAAGAATTTTCAGTCTACCTACCGACTGCGCCAAATTGTATTTTCCTTCGACATGACTCACATATTATTGAAATATTCTACTTTTGTCCATTCTAGACCTTCTTTTATAATTTCCTCTTGTTCCTCTTTCACTGTTGACGCTATGATAAACTGATGCAGTTTCTCATTACAGTAATTTATCATGAGTTGTTCGAAGCTGTTGTCATCGAAAATCTCGAAACCATAGAAATCCAAAACTCCCAGAACTTTCTTCTTTCCCAAAGATTTCGCCTTAAAAATAAGCTAGTTAGTTGATCGACCCACTATATTACACCGTCTTAAATGTATTTACCTTGATGACGTCATTGATTTTACATATCAACCACGTAAACAGACGGCTGTACAAAGATCGACACAAAATATCTCTGATTCTTGCAGCATCTGTTGCACTCAGGTCAGTTATTATTCCATCATCAAACTGTTGGGTTGTCAAAGCTCTTTGTAACCACCTGTGTTCGATGCCCAATAACTCACAAACCTCAAACAACTCTAAAAAAAATTTGAACAATGAAAACTCAGTCATGTAATGGAACTATGAAAAAATTACTGACCATAATCGTTGCTTACAGAACATCCTTCAGTACCATCTATGTTATTACAAGGCACGTACTGTAAGTTCCCTAATTTCAGAATGATCGCTATAACGCGAAAAATATCTACAATTTCGCTGTTCGCGAAGCCCAACAATTCTAAAGCACTTTTCGTGTACAAGAAAAGCTTTCTGTCGTCGTCTTCTGTGCATACAGGATGATTGCCTTGAGCGTGTAAAATGGCATAGTGATCGACATTACGTTGCAATTTCAGACTTTCTGAAAACGATACATTTGAGTTCTGGTGATGGGGCGTTCCTGTGGAAAACTCACTCAGTAGATGGATATCGGCACCGGTCAAAAGTTGGTAGAAAATGTGGAAGTTTCTATCGCCTGTTGCCAAACTGGTTACCCTCGACTGAAATACAGAGGATGAAAATAGCTTCGTTGATTATTTTAACGAAATTAATCAAATCAAATGATATCAAAATAGCAGATAAATTAATACGTAGACATAAAATCCAAGAAAAATGCCAATCCCTTTCAATCCCAAGTACACAAGAGTACTTGATAAGGTTTTCAAAGACTTAGGTTTTGAAAGCGTTTATCAGTCTGGGTGAAAATTAGACAATTTATCAGGTAATTCAAAAGATCAGGTAGACACACTTGAAAAGTCAGGAATATACGAAATTAGTTGTAATGATTGTGATAAAACGTATATAGGCCAAACCAGGCGTCCCATAAAAACAAGATTCAAAGAACACTTAGCACATTTGAAATATGGTAGGTTAGATAAATCGTATGTAGCCCAACACATGTTCAATCACAATCATAACACACATATTAATAACCTCAAATTAGTTGAGCAAGTTAATAATGTTAGAAAATTGGATGCATATGAAAGCTTGGAGATATTTAAGAACAGTCATAGAGTGATGAATAAGGATAATGGACCATTCCCAATTAGCCCTCTGTATAGTTTAGTAATATAACATGTGAACTCAACCATGAATAGTATATAAGTAACCCACTAGGTTAGAGCATTTAGTTTTAATTTTATCCTGAAGATGCTAACATAGCGAAACACGTGTCGAGGTGTGAAAAAACGGTTTGGTTACCTCATCCCGCCATAGTTAAAAGAAAATACCAAACGCCCGACGGAGACTGAGGCAACTGATATATTAATTCTTTCAACTGTGTTCTCGCGCTAATTCACTCTGTCAGAAATCATGTATCATTCATCTCTGTCTGGAATAGTCTTGTTTCAGTATTAGGGTTTTGACGTCACATCATCGCCTCGTTTTCAGAGGTCCGAAAAATCGTGGATTTCAATATTTTTTCATAAAACGTAGGGAGCTCACAGCAAGAAACGGTTTGCGGTGGTGAGCTAGTTTGGGTGAGTTCTATCGAATTATGAAATAATTTTTTTTGTGATATAAGCCCATTAGATGATCACGGCAGAGAATTCCTGAACATATATATGTTTTGTGATTAGGTATGGCTAGTAAAAAATGAATTGTGAGAATTGTATTATGCTCATGTTTGCTATATATCACAGATCAAGGGAATAAATTATATGCAATGATTTCGAATATATCATCATACGATGTATTCAATTCCGTCCACAATACACACTTCAATAGACTATACTTTCTTTCTATAAACTTATCCAAAAACGGGTAAAAAGGAAAATATGAAATGTTAATGCACAAGTACTTGCATGATGATTATTGAATGTGAATAATTTGAAAATGAATTGTTTTATCCAAATACTACAAGAGAAGGTTTCAATCTCTGATTATATAAAAAATAATGGGCTGAAAGACTTCGGTCAATGGCCTTTTGGGGTATATCCCTAATAAAGATGTTCTCTCTCTAAAAAATAATTTTTCATAATAATTTTCAATAATGTCAGAGAAATAAAAAAATTTAGGAGTATCATACATTGGAATATTTAAAACTATCCAGTGAAGATTCCCTTCAAGCATAATTTCTTCGTCTCCAACCTACAGCCGCATATATTTATGTCATTTAAAAAAAAAAGATAAATTACACCAACTCTATCCAGTTCTCAATTCAATATTTTACCTTGAACCCAAAAAACTCTCCTGCGGCGCATGCAATGAATATTTGTTTGGGTCCTCTTATCCAATTCCCCTTCCTAACATAAAATGATGCCACTGTAATCGCCGTAAACTACAGTTCAAACTAAAGTATTAAACACTGTCCTTTCAAATTTTGTGGAGGCAATTTTTTGTGTTCCTTCATCAGTGATCAATTTTATTGAAGAGAAGAATTCAAGTGGAGTTAGGGGAAGTCAAATCAGATATATGTGGAGTTGACGTCGGAGTACCACAGGGCTCAGTGTTAGGACCTCTGATATTTCTTTTATTCATAAACGATATGCCATCCTATATCAAATCAAAATGCATTGTTTTATTTGCTGATGATACTTCTATTGCAGAGGAAGCCGAAAATCCTGTAGAACTACAAGCTAGATTGAATGCTGTGGCACATCTATTCACTACATGGTGCGAACGTAACAAATTAATAGTGAACGCCGAAAAAACGGTATTGTTGCAGTTTTTCGGAAAAAAACAGAAAAATCATATCTCAATGAATGTTAATGTCAATAATACCACCATTGAACCCTCAGAAAGAAGCAAGTTTTTAGGAATACATTTGGATGAAGCACTATGCTGGAAATACCAAATCAATCATGTGTGCAAAAAATTATCAAGTGGGTATTTCGCATTATTTCAGTTAAAAAAACAACTCGACCAAACAACCCTGATCAACGTTTATTACGCTATCATAAATTCACACATCACGTATAATATTATACTATGGGGAGGAGCCACTGAAATAAATAGAGTATTCGTATCGCAGAAGAGGGCCATTAGACTCATATTTAACTTGAAAAAAACAGACTCATGTAAACCATACTTCAAGAAACATTCATTATTGACTGTTCCGTGTATATATATTCATAGCTGTGTATGCTATATTAAACGAAATATAAAGTTTTTAACCAGGAATTGTGACAATCACCGATACCAAACAAGGCATGGTAACAAAATAATTATCCCAAAACATTCGACTAGCCTATATGAAAAGACCCCTTCTCTGGCTGGAACAAAACTATTTAATAATTTACCATCTGAGCTGAAAGATATTCAATCATACAGCCTCTTCAAGAAAAAAGTCAGAGAATTTTTGGTTCTGCATAGTTTTTACTCCACCTCTGGATACCTTAGTTATAAGTGAACTGGGAGTACAGTTTTTGATTTTTAATTTTTAATATTTAATTCTTAACTTTATGTATTTGAATGTTTTGATTTTTGAATTCTGATATTCAATTCTCAACTTTTTGTATTTAAATGTCCCCAATGTATTTTGTTTGTTTGTGATTCTTCTATGGATGTTATGATTGTTTATTTTTAATATGTAGGTTTATATTACAATTTAATCTCAGACATTTTTATACTTCTCGACTGACATGTCCTATTTCATGTATATGAACACAAAGGATGAATAAATATTCTATTCTATTCTATTCTATTGATCAACGATAAGGTTCATTGATTTTCGTACCTTATTGGTACAATCTGATGGTACAACTTGAATTTTTCAGAAAATCAACTATTGAAAAGTTCCAAGCTGTTACCTGCTGGCTAGTCCGCCTCTGCTCTTCTAGATACCTTTTGCTCTATGCCTTTGATCAACAAAGGTAATCTCTGTTTCATCACATAAACTGATGGAAAAAAGTTATGGATATTGTGTTTTTCTCCAAATGTTTTTTTGATATAACAAATGATATACCTGTGTCATTTGCATTTGAAAGTATCCCTGATTTTTGTCGACCAGTTTATATGCTAGTCCAGTTTTTTTGTCACCAAAATGTTTTTCAATAGAAAAAACCATTGAGAAGTTATCAACTAAATACCCCAATACAATGTTCAAATTCAATGGTAAATATTTCCGGAAATTGTCAAAAAAAAATTGGTCACTACATTCTTAGCAAGGAAATGAAAGCAATGAAATAAAAAATCACAAACATTTTTTTATATGGAAAAAAATGGATATTTCATCTTTATGTGGTGCTACAGTTAGTTTTTCAAGAGCCAGAAAGGAATAATTTGCAGTAATCAATGCTGACTGAAAAGAATAATTATTTATGTTCACATAAAAATTTGTTGTGGGCAACCTTGACTATTAAGATGAAAAATATTTGATATTATTTTGAAACAAAAAGTGAAAAGTAGACAATGTTATTTTCACAAAAGAACTTTGAGCTGGTCCTGAGTTCATTATTTATGGGGTTCAACAAAACTATCAATTATAAAGCCTCTCAAAACTCTTCAAAATAAAATTATCAAATGTATATACAGACTAAATTATTGGGAACCTACTATGAACCTTTACAGAAGAAGAGAATTATTAGATATAGATTCACTATACATATAAATTCAAATTAATGTCGTTCATTCATTCAGTTAAACATTGTCAAAAGCATTCAAATTTGGTTTTCCAAATCAATAGTAATCACCACAACCATACAACCAGACAAGCAGATCATTTTTCTGTCAAGAAAATTAAATCAGATATTGGTAAAAAATCCATCTATCACAATGGAATGATACAATACAATTCACTACCAAATTACTTGAAGCTGATTAATAGGATTGAAGAATTTAAAAGAAAATTCAAGAAACATCTACTCCTGTAATATTGACATCTTATCTCATTTTTATAGTTTTCTTGTACAAATACTATAGTTTTCAATTGGGTACCTAACAGCTGAGTCAATTGAGAATCATTTTCAGTTGAACTTGAAAAAAAAAAGATTCTTTTTGAGTGTGAGTCTTATTTTACTGTCTTCTTTATTTTATTTTGTCAAATATATTTATGTATTCACTATGTTCCCTACTATAAACAAATGTTGTTTCTTGGGAATGATAAAGTTGATTGATTGATTGATTTAAAAAATGCATTTACATTGATAATGCAGCACCTACCTTATCAAGAAAGTCTGTAAGCATGAAACAAAATTAGGCAATCAAAATCTCATTATAAAAATATTCATGAAATTAGAAACACTGTTTTTCAATTTATCATTCAGAATAATTATATAGGGTGGTGACTGGAAGCTACTTCATTTTTTGAGATCCACTTCTAATTCAGATTCCATATTTGCTGGCCAAAATCTCATACACAAGCAAGCTGTACCCACATGTCACTGGGTCATGGTGCATATTGGAAAAGTGACCACCCTGTACACATTGCTTAGAGATGTTAATAATATGCTTGAGAAATATCATGTTCAAGATCTTATTATCATAGTTTCAATCAGAATAAATAGTGTACTTACAATGAACCAAATGACCACCTGTTGGATCACCCTTGAAATCGAATTCTATATCAAGAAATTTTCCCTGTAAATTATAAAATAATTGATATTCATTCCACTTCTAACAATGAAAAAACTCACAAATCTTGAAGCATTGTCATTTTTCATGGTTTTGGCATTTCCAAAAGCTTCTAACAAAGTATTTGCTTGCACCAGATGATCTTTAACCAGCTTGGTCTCAAGACAGTCTCCAGATACCAGTACTAAAAACTGAAGAACTATCCTAGCAGCTTCAGTCTTACCTGATCCACTCTCCCCTAAACAAAAACAAAATTAAATAATCAATGATTTATGTTCACTGTGAAATGTTAATTAGTTTACAAAAAATTAACTAGAAATATCACTGAATCATAGTGATAGTGTGATAAGTAAGCCTAATTATGCACTGTAGTAAAAAAATCTTCAAATAATCAATGTAAGATTAATCTTCTTTACAATATAAGCTATTAGTATCTGAGCAAATGGTTACACAACCTGTTACAACTACACACTGGTCTTCATTTCTATCATTCAACCATCTATAAGCTGATCCAGCAATGGCATATCTGCAACCAAGTGTTGAGTGAAACTTTCAACTCCTATAATGTTTTGGACTTACATATGTGGTGGCAACTGAAAAGGCCCCCTTTTAACATAACTCTCGACCAAATCGGCAGAATAGAGTGCCAACTTTTTGTAGGGATTGACCGAGATGAGCACATTCCCGATATAGGTGTAGATGTGATCCCTCTTGAAACGCTGCTGCAAGTTAGACACAAACGTGTCTTCGGTCAAGGGCTCAAGCAGAACAGCATCCCAAGCCCCCACTTCCTGCTCCAGGCTGAGCATCCTGGCTGGGGTGCCGCCAGGGCGGCATCTAGGCCTCGGGCCCCTTTTCACCGTGCCCCAAAATCAGCTTCAGAGGAATAAATGGGAGAGCGATTCCACTGGCAACCTGATTTTCACGAACGAGATCATCATGGCCTCCGTTCAGACGGGTTTACCGTTCTGATACATTATTAATTAAGTTAATAAATTAATTTAACTTGTGCCCTAAAATGTCTTTGGATTCCTTTTTGGCACACAAACACAACTTGTCAATTGTCATTCATCAGCTGTTTGGAATTTGGTTTGGAATGACACTAATGACAGTAACCTGAATTCACGAGAGCCTAAAGTTTTCGAACCATTCCCAATTCTCATTGTCAGATTAGTGTATCAAGTGCCTGAAAGCCTAAATCACTATACGAATGATCGAATGATCAATACGCTGTTTCCATCCTTCACTTTCCGTCCTTATAGATTCAAAAAGTGGTCCCATTTTTGTCCCTTTTTTGTTGAACACGTTCATTGTGAGCACAGAACTATAACCCTGGTTGTTCAGTGGCGATGAGCCATACATAGGCTATCTTCCGAATTCAACTGGTCAGTACTGTCAGTAGATCCACTGACTCTGCTGAAAAGCTGTGTTCCGAAATATAAAATCAAAAATACAGTGCTGTAATTCGGAACATGTTTTCATCAGTAATCAGCAGCAGTTGATCAGCTGGTGAAATTTGTCAGTTATCATTGATCTGGCAGATGCTCCTGCTTGAGCTAAATGAATAACAGGCATTTTCTGATATCAAAATTAAATTATTGATGCATTATTGATAAGCCAAGACTTAATGTTTGAAAAACAACGGAAATTAATGTGTCATTCCTTTCCCCTCAAAAATAATGACAGTTCACGAGGCCCATATTTATAGTCGTTTCCTCAAGACTTCCTCAAGGCTTCCTTATCTGAGGATTCCTCAGCACTTGAAGGAATGACTTGTTTTATAAACATTCCTCAAGTGCTCCTTGTGTAAGGAATCCTTACATTTGGCAACAGTGTTCAATGTTAGTGTTCTGTGACCAGATTCTGCTGATTTATGTCGATTTCTGTTTCGTGCCGTGTTGTGTCAATATTTCAAAAATTCAAATTTGAAAGTGAAAAAGCGAGGTAAGTGGAAATTTTTGATTCTGTAGACTTAAAGACTGATACTAGATGATTTTTTCAAATTTACAGATGAGTGATATTGATAGAAAAGTATTCTCCGTAAGAGAGAAGGTTCTGCTTATGTCTTTGGTGGAGAAATATAAGAATATATTGGAAAATAAAAAAACCGATGCTATACAGATCCAACAGAAAAATGAAGCCTGGAATAAAATTACTCAATTTTATAACTCGAACGATGTATCCAGAAGGACCACAAAGCAATTAAAAAAACTATGGGATAATTTGAAACAAAAGTAATAACCTGATATTCATTCCAATTATATATTGGAAATATGAATATAGTTCACCCAATAATACTCATCACCTATAATTGAACATTTTTAGGACTAGAAAGTCAGATACGGAATTCAAAAATAAAATGCTGAAAACAGGTGGTGGTCCTTCTTCAAAAGTAGATGATGATCCGCTAAATGTAATGGTGCGGTCAATTGTTCCTACCATTAATTTCATGATAGATAACAAGTTTGATAGCAATGCTGCATATGTCGAACAAAGTGAGATAATATGTTATTCTTTTACATCAATAAATGAAAATGATTTATCATTTTGCTATAATATACTGTGCTAGTCAAAAGTCCCCTCCCCCCCTCGTATCTTTTGAACGGGTATACTTATAATAATGAAATTCGGATGGTGGAAATAAACGGATGTAGGCTTCTCAACTGGTCATAACAGGTGACGCAATAGTTTATTTCCACCCTCCAAATTTCATTATTATAAGTATACCCGTTCAAAAGATACGAGGGGGGGAGGGGACTTTTGACTAGCACTGTATAATATATCATATAATATTATACAGGGTGTTCCTTAATGACATGCTAATAATATATTCAAGTCAATAGCGTGACAAAAATGACTGCAAAAATGTCGTCAATTATTGATCGACTGATGTCTATGACCAAAAATCACCAGATATTGACGTCATTTTAGACGTGCTTCTGTGGGCTGGGAAACGTCCTAACTTTTGATATACAGAAGTCTTTGAGGAACACCCTCTATAATAATGAAATCTTCAATAACATATATTTATTCTCATAGGAAAACATTTGGAATCATCATCTTCTCCTGAAGTTGCACCAGTACCAGTGGATGAAGGTATAGTTTATAATAATCCATATGGTAATATGGTATATATACTTACTTATTTGGAACAATGGTTTCAGGATCTGTTATTGAAATGGAAGAAGATGATATAATAAGACATGAACAGTTTCCATTAGGTAAAAATCTTGCCAGATTTATCATTGATAAAATTCGTTTTTTTTTTCAAATATATGGGTATAGGTATTTCTTTTTTGTAGATCTGGATTATGAAATTCAGCACGACGTACCAAATAGGAATGATGAAAATGTAACATTAGTTCCAGGTAAAGGTAATAAAAACAATATATTAGATATTGTCTCTGGAATTTCTGTTTTTCAGATATATCAAAAAAAAACTCGCGAAAAACAAAAAATAATAACATTTCATTAGTTGAAAAAGAAAGTCAGCTGAGACTTACAAAATTAGAAAACGCCATTCAACAGCAGACTGAACTGCATAAAATGAAATTAGAAGCAGCTGAAGCAGAAAAATTATTCTGGATTAAGAAAACCCAGTTGCTAGATAGAGAAGATTCATCTTTCAATTTTTAAAATTAAATCATTAATTGTTACTTATTCCTTAAATAAATTATAATAAAAGTTATACGGCTCTGAAAAGTCCACATTTGAAAATAGTTTCAGATTCACAGGGTGTTCCATTTTCACGCGCAATAGCAAAAATAATAGATTTTTCAAATGGAATACCCCTGTATTTTATTGCATTCTTAGATTCTTCTAGAAGAGCTGATTTTATCAATGCATCACACTTATTGGGGTCCAGCGGAAATGATTACAGGGATATATAGGGTGTTCAAAATCGAGATTTTTCAACTGTTAGGATTTTTTGTGTCCGAACTATTCATTATTGGCCACAAAACGGCTCACATATGTCCCTTTCTTAACTTTTATGATTATCTATCTACTGACATTTAATTGGAACAAATAAAGAGATAGAGGGTGGTTCAAAGATTCAGAATTCTGATCACCCTCTGTATCAATTGAAGCTTTTAAAATTGGAAAATGCAATTCAACAGCAGACAACTGTATAAAGTGAAACTTGAGGTTGTAGAAATAGAAAAAATGTATTGCATGGTTAAGAAAAACTCAATTGTTGGAAAAGGAGAATGTATTTAATTAAATAATATATATATATATATATATATATATATATAGTATAGATCAACACATATATCTATATTTTGAATGGAACTGTTCATTATTTCAAAGTAGAGGTACCAAATTATAAATACCTACTCCCAGGAATATATAGGTACTGTAAATTTGCGAATTTGTCATGTTTCAGATTTTTTGTCGATTTACCTTCAATAATAAAAATTCAGGAAAAGAGTTTTGAAACCTTATTTTCGAGCATTAATAGAAAAACTATATGTATTTCATCAATTTTGATTCTAAACAAGAAGAATATGTCACTAGTAATAAAATCTTTCATTGCCACATGGGACAATAAATATGAAAATAATAATATAGGATGTCCTTTGACTTTTGGCATAAAATCTAATATTATATAGGTCTATTATATACTTTTGCATTCACTTCTCTATAAAAAGACTTGAAGGATAACAACAACAGTTGAATTTGAGGTAAAAAATCAAAACCAATACCTAATCGGAAGAGGTAATAATGCAACATCAAGCAGTAAGTAGAATCTGTTACCTTCTTGAAAACATTCATATAGATACTCCAAGATTACGAAATCCTGATGGAATGGTGCACTGGTGGTCACCTAGGTGGTTATTCACATACCTGAATGAAAAACAATATTAGTACACATGTTTGTCTCAACATACCCATAAAATCAATTAATATCAAAAATGTATTTGTATAAATGCCCTTCGGAATGCTAATCCTTCTACATTATTATCAATATTTTCAAATATAATATTTTCTGCAATATTGACCACATCTTCTGCTTCTTCATCTTCAAAAATATCATTCATCTGCCTTCCAATATTATGCAATACTGCTGTTGCACAAATTATAGTGGCAGATGTCTCTAATTTTGTGTTGAGTGTTCTTTTCAAGCATGGGAATCTTCGCTTCCAAATGCCAAACACTCTCTCTACAATATTTCTTGTACTCCGATGTGCTCTATTGTAATTCCTTTCAGTGACATTGCTTGGATTCAAAACAGGAGTCAACAAGTACCTCTTGCACCCATATCCATTATCACCCAGTATAATACCTGAGATTTAAATAAATATAATATATATTAGATACTTCTCTTTCCTCATTGCTGCCATTAATAGTTCAGAAAATGGAAAAATCAAATCAGATAATTGAAGATGCCCAATGGATATTACCATCTAGCTGATTCTCTTCAAACAAAATTCGTAGAGCACTTTGGGCAAATATTGTGTTATCATGGGTTGATCCTGGATGTCTGACAACAATATCTAAAATTTCCATATTTGGACCACATGCAACCTGAGAGCAAGAGGAGTAGGTATTAGCTAATAGCACAAAATATAAGGTGAACCATTTATAATAGGGACCTGGACATTCAGTGAAAATTGTCCTTTCCTGTTACGGAAAATTTCTCCAATATCTCCACCAGGATTCAAAATTGAGATATGGGTTCCATCAACACAAGCTGCAACATTTGGAAATCCGGCTATTGTGTGAAATTTCCTTATATTTTCTTGTTGGCCATCAGCATCAGGAAAATGTATGAAATTGTTCAAATGTTCTGCCAAAGCTATGGACACCCTTTTGATTATAAATGACATTGATGCCTGTGATATTCCTCTTAAATCACCCCCATCAATCTGTAGCATACATAGGAACAATTTGAAATCATTGAAGGATAAATTCAAATTAATAAACCTTTGGTAAACCTGGGTAATAAACCATACCTGAAAATGACCTGTAGCATAATATCTCAAGCTAGCCAGAAGTTGAATGACTGGTGCTATTGGCAATCCTCTATTGTTGTTCTTCATCAGGGAATGGGTCACAAGTGGTAAGATAGTATCCCTAACTATCACTTTGGGAAAACGATATCTCCTTCTGAATTCTACATCCCTATAGAATGTGAATGGGTCTTCAACATCTCTGATGTAACGTTTAGGGATTCTGTTGATCACTTCGTTCTCTTCTACTCTTTCAATGAAATCAAGAAAATCATCCAAATCCATATTTTCTTGCAAAATAATGAAATGTAACCTAGAACTTGTCAACAACCAAAGACAAAACTCAAAATATTCAAACAAAACACCTGTGAGAGACCTGAAATCTCACCGAAAACTGACTTGAGGAGTGCTCAAGGATTGCTCAAGGTACCCTTCTACCTACCTCGACATTGAAAGGTACTTGAGGCTTCCTTCCAACTCATATGATGACTATAAAACAGAAACTCGTCCTCAAGGAATCCTTGAGGGACGAGGTCGCCTTAAGGAGCGACTATAAATACGGGCCTGAAGCCACACTACCTTTTGGCTATATTCCGAATTCAACTGACAGTACTGAATCTGCTGATTTTCCATTCCGAAATCAAAAAATTCACTGGAAGTGACAGATGCTTGTCAGCAGACATACTATTCATTCCAAATATTTCGACTCAAAATTCTGCTGGAATTGCTGAGTATCAAAAGGTAGTGTGGCTTCAGTGAACTGTAATATTTTAGAGGGGGAAGGAATGTAACATTCATTTCCGTTGTTAATGAAATGATTCTCAATATCAGGAAATACCTGGAGTATGAAGTAGTAGGTAGAGCAGGTAAGGAAAGGAGCAGCATTGGCTAAATAAACTAAATAAACCTGGAATTTCTCCTAAAATTCATCATTATTAAAAGGCATATTGCGATTTTCATGAATCTCAATTCTCAATCTGGTGCATCATGAGAAATTTATGGCAACAAAATGTCCAAGTATTCTTCATCACTCGAGCTTGAATCGCCATCGTCAACAATCGTAGAAACTAAAGAGGATACAAGAATCGATTTCTCTTCCATGTTGAATATTAAATTTCCAAAATTTATAACAAGTAGGAGGCCAAACATCTAGTTCAGATAAACGAGAAACTACTACTGATGAAAACCATGAAAACGTGTCCCGAATTACAGTAGTGAATTTTTGATTTTATATTTCGGAACACAGATTTTCAGCAGATTCAGTGGATCAACTGACAGTACTGACCAGTTGAATTCGGAATATAGCCTTTGATAGTCAGCAATTTCAGCAGAATGTTGAGTCGAAATATTTGGAATGAATAGTATATCTGCTCACGAGTATCTGTCACTTTCAGTCAATTTTTTTGATTTCGGAATGAAAAATCAGCAGAAGTACTGTCAGTTGAATTCGGAATATAGCCATAGAAATAGTACATATATGTCATGTTCTGTGATCGTGAAATTTAAAATACAGTGCACGTGCCTTGTGTCATATGTCAGTAGTCAGACAGACAGCTCTCAACTCATCATAACCTCAAAAATTGCTCCAAAGAAATTTTCATTTCAGTAGTTTCCATTTTTAAAATTACTATTCAAAATATTTCAAAATTTTGTAAAACAGTGACCAGGCTCGAACAGAACAGAATCTAATAAAATTAATGCCCTGACTAATTTCCCATGTACCTACACGTTGAAAATTCCGGAGCACTTGTGATTTGGTGAAAAATACTGACAGACATTATAAAGGACCTTTGTATTGTTAAAATCGAACGAAATTGAAGTGAGTATTGTACATCTCGGGTTTTCACGTTTCAATATTTTATTCAATAATGAGTGGCAATGTGATGCAACCTACCATCATTTGTAAATTTGAGGTTATCTTTCAGCACTAAAATTTCAAATAATGGAAGAGTACACTAGGGAACCATGTCCATGGAGAATTGTTGATGACTGCGGAGGAGCTTTCACAATGGGCCTCATTGGTGGAGGTGTCTTCCAAAGTATAAAGGGATTCCGTAATGCCCCATCAGGTATCAACAAACGTCTGGTAGGATTCATTTTCCTGTTTGTTGGAATAGTCATTTTATCCCTGGCTCTTTTCAGATTGGAAGTGTAACAGCTATAAAACAAAGATCACCTATCATTGCTGGTAATTTTGCTGTATGGGGTGGCATGTTCTCCACAATAGATTGTGCCCTTATTCACATGAGGAAGAAGGAAGATCCTTGGAATTCAATAATAAGTGGAGCAGCAACTGGAGGTATGCAAATTCCTTCCATCATATGGATTTTTTCTGATGATTGTTTTTTAGGTATTTTGGCAGCAAGGAATGGCCTACCTGCCATGGCTGGCAGTGCTCTGATTGGTGGTGTTCTTTTAGCCCTCATTGAGGGGGTAGGAATCCTATTTACCAGACTTTCAGCAGAACAGTTCCAACCTCAGCTGCCTCCCATGGAGGATCCCCAGAGTCTTGGGGAGCAACAACCACCTGGGGGGTATGCTTTTCAGTAGTTTCTGCTTCATGTTGTATAGTTGTAAATTAATTAAATATTTCAATTGGACTGGTGAGTTTAGTGACATTTTGCTGGAAACACAATGTTGTGGCTTGTATGAAAGCTGTTCCTTTAACATCTTGGATGTTTTTTGTGAAAACTGAATTTGCTGACTGGTAATGCTCCAGGAAATAATTCAACTCAAGAAGAAATTTGTGGAATATTCAATATTCCTAATTTTGCTCATAAGATATTGGGAATATTCTTTATTTCATTGATTTTACTTCTTCAGGATAAGAATCAATAGTGTTCAAATGAGATCATATTGAATATTGATTTTCTTTAATGTTTTTTTTTTATTATAAATGTTTATAGTTGTTTTTTTTTTTCATTTCACTTGACATTTGACCCTATCTAGGAAACAGGAGTAGGTCATGTTTTTGATGGGTTTGGTTTGAAAAATCCAATCTACTGCAAAATGAATATTTATTATAGTCAATAGGAGATTATGGAAGAGTAAAGATATTCATCACATTCAAACAATTTAATTTCCATTTATTTTTAGGCCCATTAACAAATGTTCAATACAATTATTAGGTCTTTTGAGTACAAAAATAGGTAGGTACATTATTAGGTTTATTGGAAGTTCATTAATTTCAAATTACATTGTCACTCAAAATCCTCATTTTAGAAATTCATTTATTTTGATGAAACAAGATTCTGATTATCTACACTAATAATAGATACCTATTTATAATTGTTATTGACTAATAGAATAACATGTGGTGCAAAAGATTTTATTATACATTCATTCATAGATAGATACATCAATTTGAAAATTTGGGATTGTTTGTTGTTATAGATTTTTATTGTGAATACTCAAAGATCTGACTGTTTATTATCACCTTTGGTATTTCATATGAAACACCCTGTTCACCTATCCACATCAAATGAGGACTTCATGAAAAAATCTACATCTATTTAAGAATTTCCAGTACAACATCCTTCATATTTGTCAAAATTGGGATTCTACATATGTATCAAATATGCTTCACACCATATGTCTAACAGTTTAGAAGAAGGCGAATTTTTCATCAAATCCAACTTCAGGAACATATACAACAAGATGTTTTTATTCAAAATGTTTGAGTGCTAAAATTCTCTGCATCTGAAGGAATATTGAACATGTTTTCATTTACTATGTAAAAATTGCAATTTGCTTCAAAAATGATTGTATCTTGATTATTGAGTAGAAAATGACAAAGTATTGCCAGATGCTGAGGATTATCTCCAAATTCCAGAAAGTTAAAAGATATAACATATCAATTCTTGGTATTCTAATGTGTGACACAGTTACAAGTTACTTTCTATTTTGCTTCTGAAGCATTAGGCGTCAATTCACAATTAGGGAAGACTAGTGATGTAAACGTGGCACCACAGCATTTAAAATAAAATATTACGTTGAAGCCAAGTAACTGAAACAAAAACAATGCATCATCATATCCACTAAAAAAAAAAAAAATCGAATGAAGTATCAATTTCTCTCGGCAACTTGACAACACCGTTAGCATAAGCAAAATTCGCAAACTGAGACATCAGGGGCGGCCGAGGGGGCGGCTATCCTTTTTTCAACGAATGTAATAGTTTTCAATCTTTGATATGAAATAGCATTATTATACTTTTGGTTCTACCCGAACGCACTTTTTGCAGACAGCTATTTCATTGAAGATCTATATTGGCTAAGCGTTGTTTTATTCTAACGCTTTTTTGGCCGACAGCTGTTTTAGCCGAGCGCCCTTTTGTTTCAACCACAACGTCTTCTCGACTGCTGTTTTTACGTGAGCTATCTTGGCTAACAGCTATTTTTAATCAGTGCGCTATTTGGTTGATCTCTTCTTTGGGCAAGTGTTTTTTTAATTTAGCGCGTCTTCTCCAGAGTGCTCCTGTTTTATCTGAAGACTTTTTTGTCCGGGTGCTGTTTTACGAGAGCTATATTGCCTAACAGCTATTTTATCAATACTCTATTTGGTTGAGCGCTGTTTTGGCAAAATATGTTTTGGTCTAACGTTTTATTTCTTTGTGCGTTGTTTTATTTTTTATTTGTGGGTTTGCTTGGTGCTTTGTCATTGCAATAAAGAAACACAAACTTTCACAACTATTTTAAGCAATTGCTGTTTCGGACAACCGTTGTTTTGGTTTAGGATCTGTCCAACTGTAGGTATACTCTAATATATCTGAAGCTATATTTTGGACAAGTGCTGTATCATCATAGAGAGGTTCCACACGGGAGACAACTATTTGGTAGATTGAACGACACACAGCCGATGAGCGATGAGGGCTATTTTGGACAAGGATTTTTTTGGATTGGCGTATTTTCGAGTGTGCGCTGTTTTATCTGAAGGCTGCTTTAGCAGAGTGCTCTTTTATTAAAGCGATGTTTTATATATACGATAGGCTGCTATTATATCAGAATGGTATTGTTGGTGCGCTATTTTGGAAAAGGTATGTTTTGGTTTAACGTCTTCTTGTTTGTGGGCTGTTTCATCTGGAGGTTTTTGCCTGAGCGCTGTTTTATCAAGGCCCATTTTAGGCCGAATTTTCGAGGGGATTCTTTTAGTCGAGCGATCCCAAATTGGAGTTGACGAAGGGCAGCGGCGTCAGACGGGGAATCACCGGGTCATCGGGGAGTCCCTCCTCGTCCTGTCAACTGTCGTCGCACACGACAGCTAGAGAATGGGCATGGGTCAGGGCTGCCCAAAGGGGGGACCTGGAAGCACAAAATATAAACAAATGGTCGGCACAATATCGAAGTTAATTTAATGTTCGACGTGGCAAATACACTGTCCCAGATTCGCTTCTCTTATTAGTGATGGGCGGTGGGTATACAGTGTGTCCCACTTACCATGCTCACCATGGGTATCTTTTTAACGGTGAGAGATACGAGGTCGGTTAAATGACACCAAATGTGGAGTTTGTCAAGGCCAACTATAATGTGAAAAAATATTTTGATAAAATCTATTCGTTTTTGTTTTATACGCAAAAAACAGATTATGATCATTTTCATTTCTCCTCCGTAACTTCTTTATTTATGAAAATATTCAAATAGGAATTTCACATTCTCATGGCAGTTTTTCAGTGATTTCGAAAAAAATATGAAATTTATACCAACTCTTCTAGAATTTGAGATATCAGCACCAACTTTAGTTTTTCAAATGTAGGTCTCAGCTCACTATGACTTAGTTACAAATAACTTTTTTTTCTCTTATAGTTTTGTGTTGATAACAACGGAGTTATCGTCATTTATACAAAAACAAAAAATTATTTGGAAGCCGCCATCTTCAATTTATAAATTTTAACAAAAATATCATGATCTCCGACCTCAAGAACCCCCACTTATCAATTTTGAATGGAATCGGAACAAATTTTGTCCGCCATCTTGGAGCAGCTATTTTTTTTAATTTCAACAAAAACTCCATAACTCCGATTTACTTGAAATTTGGCAGATGTTCATAATTTCGGTAACAATACATTATGGAATTTTCGTTGAAATTTGAAAAAATGGCTGCTCCAAGATGGCGGACAAAATTTGGTCCGATTCCATTCAAAATTGTTAAGTAGTGGTTTTGGAGGTCGGAAATCATGATTTTTTTGTTAAAATTTATAAATTCAAGATGGCGGCTTTCAAATAATTTTTTGTTTTTGTATAAAGGACGATAACTCCGTTAATTGTTATCAACACAAAACTATTACTGCGACATATCATCTGTAAGAGAAAAAGAAGATATTTGTAACTAAGTCATAGTGAGCTATGACCTACATTTGAAAAACTAAAGTTGGTGCTGATATCTCAAATTCTGGAAGAGTTGGTATAAATTTTATATTTTTTTCGAAATCACTTTGAAAAACTGCCATGAGAATGAATGTGAAATTTCTATTTGAATATTTTCATAAATAAAAAAGTTACGGAGGAGACATGAAAATGATCAAAATCTGTTTTTTTCGTATAAAACAAAAACGAATAGATTTTATCAAAATATTTTTTCTTATTATAGTTGGCCTTGACAAACTCCACATTTGGTGTCATTTAACCGACCTCGTATCTCTCACCGTTAAAAAGATACCCATGGTGAACATGGTAAGTGGGACACACTGTATATGTCCCAGTAGCTGGGTACTCATAAATTGGGCATTTATCCGGGTATTTACTCTCATGATAAATACCCACCCAGAAGTTTTTTGAGAACGATTTGAGATTGTCGACGGCACAAAACCACCGTGTAAACAATGATGGAAGTAAGATATGGTGTAATTACTGATGCGCTTTTGTTTCAGAAATTTTACTCCACCTCTCGAGAGCAGCGAGAGCGATATGGTTCCGTTGATCTTCTAATAGATGGCGACAATGCACAATTATGACTTCTGTCAGTTTTGAAATTGTCGCAGATTTTTCGAATTCAGAGTTGTTTAATCCCACTGTTACATATGTTCCGCGTACCTAAAATGGCATTTGCCATTTTATTTCCACTCGTCACAGCAGCAATAGCAGTATCACCATCTAGCGGGGAAATGTAGAATCAACGTCTCGCTCGTTGTGACGTAGAGAAATCATAGTAGGCCGGTCGAGTGATTTTTCTGAAATTTTCAATACCTAATAATGGCCGAATACGCGCACCATGCATATCTTACTTCCATCATTGTGTAAACGTAGTAAAATGTTCGCCTCAGATAATTAAAAAAGAAGCGAAAGAGGAAAAGAAACAATAATATGACCTCATTTTCACAGTTTCACTTATGTAAGTTTTGGACTTTGCCACAAATATGAATAAAATGATAAAAAAGAAAGACCCAGCTTGGTCTTGATTTACTATAGAAAAAAAAAAGGTGTTAAATGTATAAGTACTGTAAAACAGAATTTAAACACCCAAATGTCAAGAAATTGCAAAAACATGTATTAAAAAAGTTTCATTTTGCCTTTGCTTTTTTTAAAATATAGATTTTCTTGTTCATTATAGTTTTTTGTCCAGGGTTTAATTTCTGTAGTACCAGATTACCAGGTCCCAGACCACTCTGGTTGCTTGTGATGAGTTCATGGAGAGTTGTTCAATCTAAACATTGTTCTTTGTCAGAGTTTTTAATTGTTTAGAAGGTTGTCAAATTTAAAAACCTGCAAAAATACTGTGAAAAAGAGCAATTTTCCATGTTTTCTGTTGAAAAGTTCATAAATACAAACTATTCTCATAAATACCCAGTCCCAGTACTCCTAGTTATCGAATGCACTAAGTTTCGTCTGAAACATTCCCCATTTAACCTTTGCTGTAGGTATGATATAGGTAACGAGATCCCTGTATAGAGAAGCGAATCTAGGACACACAGTATAGCCAGGAAAGTAGTTGTTTTTTGTTGAATATTCAGGATGATAATAGTTGAATGTCAATATTTGAGGTGGCGATATCATTCAACTCGATTACTGGCCTAGTGGTTGAGTAGGCGTTGCTCTGACAATCTGAAAGTCACGAGTTCGAGCCCATCTTCGGTCAGCTTCTTTTGATTATGAATATGTTTAGTGGAATATTCCAGGAATATTTATTCATTGATATTCCTGTACTATCCCTGAAATATTCCGAATATTTTCAGAATATTATAGGTACATTCTGAATATATAAGGAAAATTCCTTGTCAATATTCTAGGAATACCTATACATTCTTCCCCACCAGCACATTCAGGGAATATTCCGTAGAAGATATGTATATCTCTGGCATGTACATATGAATATTCCCAATATCCAGAAATAATATTCTATGAATATTCATGGAATATCTGGTGCTGTCTGATACATGATGAGTGAAATAATCATAGTGAAACATAGTGCATAAGTCGATATAATGACGCAATAAAAACTGTACATATGAATATATTCGCAGTATCCAGAAATAATATTCTATGAATATTCATGGAATATCTGGTGCTGTCTGATACATGATGAGTGGAATAGTCATAGTGAAACATAGTACATAAGTCGATATAATGACGCAATAAAAACTTTGAATGGGGAAAAGTTTCAATCAGTGCGAAAGGGAAAAATAGTATAATTAAGCTTATTCTAACAGCGAAAACTATGCTTGATTAATGCTATTCCGTGCAAAAACCGAAAATTACTTTCCAGTTCCAACACAGAAAGTTTCCGAGCATCGAAAATAATCATTAGAGAGTACAAAAAATTAATCTCGACTTCGAATTAATTTTCCAACATAAACGAGAATCGAACTCTGAACAGTTTTGTCCTCTCGCTGCAAGTTTCATCTATTAGCGGATGTAGGTCGAAAAAAAAAAAAAAACAGAAAATCGCCAACATTGCAAACTCTGAACAAACGAAAGTGGCGTAGTTTTTTCCGAGAAAATCGACTCTGGACCATTATTACATTATTACATCCTGTTCAGTTTCATCTCGAAGACGGAACTTTATATTTGGACACCATATTTGGGTGGTGTCTGAAAGAATTTTCTTTTGAAGACTATCTCGTCACTAATTAGAACAAAATGGAGGTTTTACCCTTTGCAGTTTCCGGTTTCCTTAAAACGCTGTCATCAATCTTTCTCGTAAAATTACTGGTAAGTAAACAAGTAATAAGGAAACAGAGTTTTGTGTAAGAGAATGAGACACGTAGTAAGTATAAGTAGGTGAATGAGAAAGTAAAAAAGTAAGCAGTGAATAAGTGAGTGAGTAGGTATATCAACAAGCATATAAGTAAATCAATCAGCAAATACTAAAAGAAGAGAATAAGTGATCAGGGCAATGAGTAAAGTGAATGAGTGAAAAATATAGTGAACAAGTAAGAGAGTATCTCAGCAAGAAAACGATAAGCAAATAAGAAAATGAGTGATGGAGTAGAACAATGAGTGAGTAAATGAGTAGAACAATAAGGAAATGAATAAGTAAGTAATAAAGTAAGTGCGAGTAGGAATCTCAACTAGAAAAATCAATGGGCAAATACGACGGAAATAAGAAAATAAGTGATGAAGGCAATGAGTAAAGTGAATGAGAAAGTAAGACAGAAAAGTCTAATGGATGGGGTGGATGGCAACCCCGGAATGAGCCATAAACAATATAATATCTGAAAAAGTAGGAGGGATTCGTAAATACGGATTGTTTTCATACTTCACGAATGACAAAAATAAGGGTTGGAGTTATACAGGGTGTATCTAAATAACACCGAATAAATTCAAGTGGTGATTTTTTTGTGATATTTTTGGAAATAAAGTTCACATAAACATGTGTCTCAACTTGCTACGTTTTCGAGATACAGGGAATTAATATTTCCATGAAAAATCTATTTTCTATTCATTTCTCAATTGTCTTTTCATCAATTTCAGTAAAACGTTGTGGTTTTGTCAATAGTAATATGGAGCTATTTCTAGTCGTGAGTCGAAATATCTTTAGCCGCTTAATAATGCTGGAAAACCTATTACAGATTTTGTTGAACTCGACATCATCCTAATTATGATGGCTCAACAAGAGCAGAATGACGACATTTATGCAATAAATTCTAAACATATGTTTCATCTATATTATATGATATTACACTGTACCTTACAGATTTTTTTGTAATAAATAATATTTTAGATGAGTATGGATTCTTTGTTTGGATATCCATTGACTGCTTTCAGTTTATGTCCATTGAACAGCCGTACATCCATTGAACGTCTCTCTGATGGACATCCACTGACTGCTTTCAATTTACGTCCATTGGACATCCTGATCGAATGTACGTTTATCAGTATCATCTTGAATGTACGTTCATTGAACATCCTGAATGTACGTCCACTGTACAT